GTTCTTAGTGAACGTTATAAGTCAGATTTCAAAAATATCACGCAGGAATCGGTTCCCCTATTGGTACAACCCGGTTCCTGGTACAAATTCCAGGCACATGTTTTTGAACAACGTTTGGAACCCAGTTCCCTGTTAGGGAGGAACCGGTTCCTGAAAGTTAATTTTCAAAAATTCTTTTTGAAAAAGATTTTAAACAAAGTTTTTCTTAAGTGAAAACATGTTGGATATGTATATGATTATGAATGCATATTTTTTGTGAACATCTATATTCAAGATTAAGAATTATTTATACCATTTGACATTTGATGATTCTTCAATAATTCTTCAATAATCTTCAATAAACTTCAAGACTTTTATATGATGTTGATAAGCTTTTTGCACATCCTTTGAATGTTGATGTCCATGTTGTCTTCATCAAAACACATGCTTTAAATATGACTTGAGAAACTTGCAATTACAAAAATGAAAATGGCAAACTTGGTTAGGGGTGTTACAGTCTGTTTCCAAGGCTTGGGATAGTTTGTAGGAATGATGTAGGATGTGTTTGAACTGGTTTGGATGAAAACGCACGAGGGAAATGAACTGGCCAAGTCAATCTGCAACAGGGACTCTGTTTTGCAGAAAAAATGGGCTTTGATGGATGAGGATGTATTGAGGGTTAATGGCTCGTGTTCTAGGTTGGTTAGAGAGTATGCAATGTGTTCACAAAGTTTGCTTGAGTTGGTTCTTGCAGTAAGGTGTATTATGCTACAAAATGCAAGTTTTTCTTCTTATCTAAAGCAAGAGTTGCCAAGTTAGATTGTAGGCTCATACAGGCCCCTCAAGCATGCTGCACAAATCACTCTTGATCAGTGGAATTGGTTCATGAACTTGTGCCCAAAAGATCTGCTTTGTACTTCTTAGATTGTGATCTTGACATAAAGTGCTTCTTTACAAGAATGGCTAAAATGCTTTTTCTATTTTAAGACTAATCCTTTGTGTAATGACCAAATGAGCAAAATAACATCTTGGCACAAAGGTTTAGCATTGAATTATTGAGTGTTAATGGGATTGGAGGCATGTAACGTAGCTTGTGCAAGCTGAGTTTGAAAATGCAAAGTGTTATGTACATGAATTTGGCCATGAACAAAGTGACTTTTGCCCATCTTTACAAATTCGATTCTCCCTAACCACAAGGGTGTTTGAGAAGTTCTTGGACAATTTGGAAAGCTTGGAATGTGTACTACAATACATCTTTGTAATGCAAGTTGAGATTCCAAGTGGAAGCATGTGAAAAGTGGCCATGAAGTTGGGCAAAAATCCTGCCTAAAATAGGTCAAAAAATTTCTAAGTTAAGAATGTTTTGCACCCCTATTCCAAAAATCATAACTTGAGCTACAAGCTTCTTTTGAGGAAACTTTGTGAATCAAAGTTGTAGATTTTTCAATGGACTATAACTTTCATGTTTTGAGTTTTGTTTGAATCCAAATACATCTTGATGAAAAAAGGGGACAAAGTTAGGAAAAAATTAGGAAATTTCATAACTTAGAAAATTTCTAAGTTATGAAATTTCTTCATTTCAAACCCTAATTTGTAATTTTTGATTTCTTGATGAACAAGTTTCATAATTTGACATGTCTTGATGGAAAATGAATCTTAGCATTTGATTTTGACCAAAAAGTCAAAGTTTGACTTTTCAGTATACAGTCAAATTTGGATCAGTTGACTGGAAAATTCATCTGTCAATCTTGTGCATTTGGGATCTTTTGAACTTGTTGAATGTGTCAAGACCATGCCATTGAATCCTTGAGTCTATATGTGAGTTTGGTTTGCCATTGGCTAGGTCAAACAGTCAAAAATTGCCTTTGTGCAGTCAAAACCCTAAAAATGACCATTTTGCCCTTTTGGTGATCTGATCAAATTTCTTGTGGAATTGTGATCCAAACTTGATCAAATGGTCCATATGAGTTCATAATGTTGATGTGGGTCAAAAATCATGAGGTTTGACTGTCAATTGACCACAGTTGACTTTTTCCCCAATACAGCTGATTTTTAGGTCAACTGTCCAATTGACTGGGCAAAGATTGGAATCAAGGCTTGAAACTTGGTATGGATAAACTTGTGAGTCCAACATGAAGCATGAAAGTCATTTTGGGCATTTTAGGTCAAAACATCTTTGTGCAAACTCAAACCCTAATTTGGGTCAACAGTGCAAGGAGAAGTCTTGAGCAGAGCAAACCCTAACTTGATCTTGAGCTCTAAGGGTCTTGTGGTGAGAAAATATTGATGAAAATGGGAGGGAAAATTTTGGGGTACAACACATGTCATTAACTTTCTTGAAGTACTTCAAGTCATCCAACCTAAAAGAAATGAATTATATTAATCTTTGACTTCTCGCCGCCAACATTTCAGAACAAACAAAGACAATATCACACACAAACAATTAGTATTCGGAAAAATTCACACCTACCTAAGATCTTAGAAGGAACAAACACATCATAAATGAAACAATATGAGCACACATGATATCTTCAAGAATATCTTTTTGAAGTTTTTATTTATAGGTTTCCAGCAAAATGAGAGGGATAGGAAAAATAGATGAAAGGAAATTTACAATGATGATTTCAATTGCGTGAGTAATGTCGTCAAGCCCATAAAATACCTTGTCTGTTCCTTTTCCCTTGACATCAGATTTAGCATTTGAATTAATATTATTTTATTCAGCATCAATTGCAGTTCATATGAAGGAACCAATATTCTAATTGGGTAAATGTAAACTGATGCAAGTATGGATGTGAACAAAAATTCAAAACACCAATTGCATTCATCACCATACACACACAACAAAGCACAAAACTTACCCTGTGCGAAGAAAAACTACGGGGTGCAGGTCAACTCCAAGAAGGTCTTGACAATATTGCAGATCCACAGCTTGGGCGGTAGTCCCCACGACCAACATGTCCCTATAAAATAAAATCAGGTTGCCATGTATTGGACACGAAAGACAGTTTTGTTGCCATATGATGTAGATGTTATTATTGGATCATCTCCTTCCTCTAAAAGTTAACACTGAAACTAAATAAAATAGAACAACATAAATAAAACAACAACAATAAATTCAAAGGATGAAAGAGCTTAGAGAAGAAACGAACACCAGTATGCATTTCTTGCCAATTTCGACTGTACCAAGGAAAAAAAGAAGTGAACAAAAACTGCAAATCAACCATTGTGCGCTTTGCCGACCTCCGCTCACCACTAAAGTGTTTTTCGTGGAACAACTTATTCATAAAAGAAACAGAACAGATTATTCATAAAATAATTTATTGATAAAACAACATATTCATAATTGAAAAAACATTTTTTTCATAACTAAAAAAAAGAGCTTATTCATAAAACATGTATTTCATAAAAAAAATAAAAAATATTTTTTTCATAACTGAAAAAAAGAGCTTATTCATAAAACATGTAATTCATAAAAAAAAAAGAGCATATTGGGTGAAACAACTTATTCATAACAACGAGAAACAACTTATTTGTAGAATAGCTTATTCATAAAAGACCATTAAACACCTAAACACCCAAACACCCTGATTCATATAAGCGAAAAAAATACCACGAAACCAGCTTATTAAACACCCATAAAAGACTCAAACAACACGAAACTCTAAGTAAAAACACAAATCAGTTTATTCATGGAAGACATAACTTAGTGGAAAAATATAACTAGCAATCGGAAAAGCCATATTCACCACCATCGACGACACAACTCGAAACCACCGTAGAATTCAAACCCTACCGTTCAAACGCGTGTTAACCACGACGACGTGCAAATCACATGCTTCACCCGTCCCTCCGCCGTTGGCATTCTTCTGCCACCTAGATGCATAGAGTAATATGATTATCAAGAAAATTTCATTTTTGTCATTTATATTCATGGGCATACTTTAATGTATATTAATTTGTTAAAGAAGGATAATTTAAGGAGATTAGTGATATCCAAGGAGATAGTTGATACGTGTATACTTCCTCCAGCCATTATGATAAGCAAATTTTTTTTTTTTTTAAGATTCATGAAATAATAAATATATTTGATCTACATAAAATATTAAATATATTCATTATTCAATTAATTTAAAAAGAAAATATTTACCGATCAAAATGAATATATGTTAATTAAATTTCCCTGTTAGGCTCGTGAATCTAAATTCACTCTGGCGCTCTCATCAAACAAACACCAAAACCGTCTCGCCCTCTCTAACTTGGAAACCGAATTCCTCTCTCGACTTGAGAAGAGAAGGATGCTCAATTAAAAGCTCGGTGAGTGACCTGTAACTATTTTCCCCCTTAAACCCTTGCTCTGATTTCGTTCATTTTTTATCCTCCAGTTTCTTTGGAGCTGAAATTGTTTGTCATCCTAATATTTCTGATTATATATATATATTTTTTAACTGTAGTCGCTGCAAGTGTCGCTAAAATCCTGATGTATGTAGTATTCAATGTTTGCAATGGCAATGCCAACCCTTTTCTTTCTTCATTTTGCCCCTTTTAGACAAATGTCTTTTATAAAAGACAGCTTCATCAATTTGAGCTTAATCAATTAGGAAATTATGATGCAGGGAGTATCATTTTGTATTCAGAAAGTCAAAAAGTAAGTAACATTTTATTTTCATTTTTAAAAAATCCACTCTATATATGTTCATGTAATCAATGGTATTTGATGCGGTGCTGCAGTGTCCTTGCTGCTGTTTTGAATTTGGTGCTGCTGCAGTCTCTCTTTATGTTTCTATGTCTATTTTTAAAAGAAAATCTTGCTTTGTGTTGATGTAAGGTGTAAAGGCTGATGTAGTTTGTAAAATGGTCTCTTTATGTTTCTATGTCTATTTTTAAAAGAAAATCTTGCTTTGTGTTGATGTAAGGTGTAAAGGCTGATGTAGTTTGTAAAATGGTCTCTTTATGTTTCTATGTCTATTTTTAAAAGGAAAAACTCTATTTAGTTGAATATTAGGTTTTGTGAGCAAATAATGGAGCTTTTAAGTCTAAGCAATAGTTTGGTTCCTAAGGATATTTACAAAGTATTTGATTTGAATAATATATGTGCTCTTTTAGATAAATTCTATTCTACAGATTTTAGTGAGCATAAGAAAATTAATTTGAGATATCAACTTCAACACTTTCATCTTGATGTTGTTGGTCATCCGGATTTAAATAACTTGTCAACTATGTCTGAATTGTGTCAAGCTCTAAAAAAGACAGTGAAGACAAATACATATTATTTGATTGATCGATTTATCCGTGTTATCTTAACTCTTCCAGTTTCTACAGCTACTATAGAAAGATCATTCTCAGCAATGAAGATAATCAAGACATTGCGCAATAAGATGGAGGATGAATTTCTTACCGACAATATGATGCTTTACATTGAAAAGGAAATAGCTGAACACTTCACAATTGATTCAATTATTGATGAGATCAAGTCTTTAAAAGAGCGGAAGGTGGTACTTTAATTTGAGGTTGGATATCTCCATTTATATATTCTATTTTTATTTTGTTAGTTATTTTGAATATTTGAAAAAATTGAATCTAAATTTTATAATTTTTAATCAATTTCAATTATAATATTTTAGTTAAATGTTTGCCGCCCCTAATATTTTAGTCATGATCCGCCACTGTAGGTCTTTGCTGTTAAGCCTGCTGTCAGGGGGCAAGTCAGGGATTTTTGGTCTAGCAGGGTCAGGTCTGGGACTTTTTTTAGCATGAATGCTGTTGATATGTAGCTTTTTTGTGGGTTTTCACGTGTCAGGCAATATGTTTTTTTTCTTGCTTCTTGAGACTGTCCAAATTGTGGCTCAGTTTTTGTGGTTAAGTGGGCTGTTTTCTTGTCTTTATTTTATAGTTTTGTGGTCTTTTTGTTCTGCTAGTGCAGTGGAGTTTATGTGTTTCTCATTGATCTTTTGCTCAAACTTAGCGTTTTTATATTAATTATGCTGATTAAATAAAATGTAAAAATAGATTGGATCATAAGAATGATGAGAAGTATTGATTTTGGCAGTGGGTTATGAATACAGATCTTATTAAGTGTTGGCAGAAGCCTCCTAGCTGTGCAAATTTTCTGTTTCTGCCATAGCTTATTTGAAACTTGTTTTTCATTAGTTGCTTAAGGCCAATAGTCCTGCAGTCCTGCTAGTGACTGGTATGTGTTTTATTCGTGATCCTTAGTTTCTTTGGCATGGGATAGTGCCGCTAGTGCACAATAGTTGTAATTTTTTGCCTGCTGGCACAACTGGTGTTCGAATATTTAAGTACTTAGTAAAATGTTTTGTTGTCTTTTAAAAACAAAACAAATTATGGCTAAATAAAACAAGCAGCTTATAAGAGAGAAGAAGAAATGAGGAGGATGAACCTTGATTGGATGGTGTTTTGAAGAAAAATAAGCATACATTCTATATTTGAAGCTTCATGAACACATAAATCTTAGTTTCAAAGGTTATATATTGCAGTAAATAATGCTACAGAGTCTATAGGACCATTTATAAGTTGTGTTTTTTCATTGATCATAATAACTTTTGTCTTTTGTACCATAAGTTGTGTACTTTTTCATATTTACTTAATGTTCTTAATACTTAATATTCAGACAGTTGTATGGTTAAAACTTTATATATATACACACATATATATATTCTGATGCATTGTGTAATTTAAAGAATCATTACAAAAAAGGTTAGTCTTTAATTTCATAACAAATGGCCCATTAGCTCAGTTGGTTAGAGCGTCGTGCTAATAACGCGAAGGTCGCAGGTTCGAGACCTGCATGGGCCATTCATTTTAGTTTTTTTTTGTTGACTTAGTAAATTTTTTTTTTTTGAAAAATACATTAGTTATATTTTGTAGTGTTTTTTTTTGTTGGTGGTGAGTCAGTTACTATGATTAATGTCAATACAAAGAGTGCAGGAAAATGTTACTAATTTACAAATTTTCTGATAATCTATAATTCTAAGTATAAAATTCTGCAGAGTTGACTTGGTATTCCTTTGCTGAGTTTAAAGCATTCTTCATTTACAAGTGCAGGCTGCAGAGAATTAGGTTGGTCTGTTCCACAGTTCTTGCATCAACCATCTTCTATGTTCCACTGATAAATGCTTAGTGGCTTAGCTTGCTAGCTAATAACAAATGTCAGCTAACTTGCCTCAGATGCCAAATATTTTCGTTTGTTTACTAAGCCAACTTTTTAGTCCATTTTGAAATCAAGGACTGATTTTAATTTTATTATCTGAAACAGAATCAGTATCGGCTCAATACTACATTTATATATTGATTTGAATGTAACATGTAAGTATGTTGTTGCCTTCACCTGCTTGCAATTTTTTAAACCTTGGTAAAAAGCAATGTACTTGTGTGGAAATTGCCTATAAACCTGGAACCTCAATGTAAAGTAGGCTAATATCAAATATGTCAGATTTGAACTCCCTGATCTCTAAAGTTTTGTATCCTTGTCTTTCAGATCGTTTAGCTCTGATACTCAAGAAAGAGCTGAGTTTAAAATTCTACTCTGCCTTTATTTATACTGATCTTCCCAACATTTAGGATGAACTTCTATCCACCTTGTCCAGAGCCTGAAAGAGTTCTTGGGATCATTTCTCATGCCGACAATTTTGCAATCACTCTCTTGGTTGATTTTGGTGATTTTCCAGGACTGCAGTTTCTCAAAGATGGAAAATGGGTCAGTGTTGAACCAATAGAAGGTGCCATTGTTGTTAACATTGGCCATATAATTTAGGTTTGTATATTTTTGGACTCATAAGGCTTCAAATTTTTCCTCAAATACTGATTCATTGCAAGTTCGATGATGCATGTTCTTCGATTATGCAGGTTATGACAAGTGGAATATACAAATCACCAGAGCATTGAGCCGTCTTGAATAAGGAGAAGGAATATCGTCAATAGTGAGATATTTCTATCCAAATTCCTCTAAAGATATTGGACCTGTTGAAAATTTACTCGATGAAGATAACAAGCAAGTATACAAGAACCTGACACATGCATAATACTTCAACAGGCTTTTCAATAGGAAGCTTGATGAATCCTTTGCAGATAGTTTGAGGTTATGGTGATAAATAATGTTGTTTAATTGTACAACTCTTACCTTTAATGTATTTTATATAGTCTAAATACACTTCAAAGTCATAGCTGAAGTAACTTGTTACAGGTGTCAAGTTCACGTGCATTAGCTTACTTTTTGTGAAAATATGGAATTTCAATGTTGATAGGTTAGTTAACCAACAAAATGGTTCTTATTAAGTTTTGTTTTATGAGATACTATAAAAGTCACACACAGCATATCATAATCATATTAGCATCGCAAAGAGCTTCAACTACTATACTATACTTCTCTGAAGTTCTTTTCATAAGTTAGATCAAATGAACCATGGCTTTCATCGATTTGTCAGCTTTAAGTAGTACTATAATGATTGTCTCGTGTCATATATAGTTTTCTATTCTATAGTGCTTTGCTCATGTTGTAGACTACACTATAATGATGGATGTGAATTGATTTATTCATTTTTTTATTCAGTCTTATATGTGCAGGGGGAGTGATTGTTATTGTTCCTTTTGAACCTTTATTAGATTATGATCTTACCTGATCAAACTTGGACCGTCATGACTGGCTCCGACCAGAAGTTGAGTGAGATGGGGGGTACCTGCAAGGCACTCCGATGTTAAAATGAGTGACGGAATGAGCAGACAAAAAAGCGTATGTATGGGTAAGAGATGAATACCTGACCCTCTAGGAACAGAGGGTATTTATAGCCCCCAGCGCGGGGCCAAGGTCCCCTCATTGGGCCGACCAGAACTGACCCAATAAAGAAACTGTCAGGTTCTACGTGTGTAGTGGGGACCCGCACGTGGTCTCCTTCCTGGTGATGCTCTGCGAGAAATGAGGAGGGACGAAGACGCGGTCTTTCTGGAGTTCAGGTGATTTGGTAACGGTCAGAGTCTGCCCTACGAGGAGGGTGCTCGAGCTGGAGTTCCCGTGGTCGAGGACACCATGTTCGCGGGCAACGGCGGGCACGACTGCAGTTTCTGGTCGGGCGCGCTGGCGGGAATCCTCGGGCTTGCGCTCCTCGAGGAGTTGCTTGGATTGGGCCTTCATTCTTGCTTTTGGGCCAGGGCGGGCCCAGTCCAGAACAGGAGCCCCCCAAGTCGTGGCTCTTGGAGCAGGAGTTATGACTTGACCTCAGCTCGCCTTTGCCACGGGGTCTGATGCCCGGCCCAGGATATTTGCTTCCCCGTGACTGCTCGAGAAGTTTCTCATGAGTTGCGTTCGTGGCGTAATCCTTGTCGATGCGTGCTCGAGGGATTCCTCGCGGGCTGTGTTCGTTGGGTACACGAGGCAACCCTTGGGAATCGTGATGCCACCCTAGCGAGAGTAGGGCCATCATTGCCTAGGGGAGTAGACGTCGAGGAGGGGAAGTTCGTGGTTCCCCGGGGTGACGTTTCGTATTCCACGTCATCCCTATAAATAGGATCCTTGGGTCCCATAATTCGTTTTTCCTCTTCGCGCTTCTCCTTCTTCCTCTGCCTTTGTCGCCGCTGTTTCTCTACAACTTTGCAAGATTACCGTACCTTCCTCCGTTGATTTTCTCCACCGCTGTCGTACCTTCTTCTTAACTTCCAAGTAAGCGTTTATCCCTCCTATTTTTCTTCGTTGTAGGTAATTTTCCCGTTATTTGGATGTTAGAGACCCACATCTGGGATTAGCGCCCGATACATTCATGTTTGTGCCCGACACATTCATGTTTGTGCCCGGTATATTCATGTTTGTGCCCGGTAAACTCATAGCTTTAGGTATGTGACTCGCGATGCTGCCCGGGACCTTCATGGTTTTGGGCGCATAATTCTATGATACTGCCCGGTAAACCCATAGTTCTAGGTTTAAGATTCATGATATTGCCTGTCACATTCGTAGTTTAGGTCGGCGTACCCATGGCTAGCCGGGATGTTGGCCCATTAGGAAGTATGTAGGACAACTCGTCGTGGCTCCTTAGCGTCGGGGAGGCGAAACCAGGATCTTGTTCGAGTCCTCAATGTTTTAACGCGCGCAGAGTGTGTCTTGGCTTGTCGTGCCCTACTTCCCGTCAGTTATGGCGAGCATATGGATTTGCTCTCGAATTTCACCGGTTTCCTGTGCTTTGCAGGTAAATGGATGACGAACCGGAGTCTTCGGGGCGTAATAAGGTCGAGGACCAGAGTGCCGAGGAGAATGTAACTCTAGTTGATACCGTTGATGATCTTTCGCTGTATTGGGTGGGCGCCGAGCCCTGAGGGATTGCCTCGGCATATAGTCGGCGTAGTCGGAGCGCCTACACTATCGTCGAACACGGCGGTAGTCAACCGGGCTTCCAGAAGAACTTTGTTGTCACAAGGCCGTCTCTCGACGCGCGGATCTGTTCGGAGTTCTCTGAGTATGGTTTTCCCATGTATGAAATCGCGTTCAAGGACCTCGGCCTTAAGCTCCCTTTCAGTGATTTCCAGGTCGGGGTATTCTGCCATCTGGACTTGGCCCCCTCGCAGCTTCACCCCAATTCGATCGTCTTTCTTCAGGCGTTCGAGCTGACATGTCGCTTCTTAAGGATCGGGGCGACCATTCCTCTCTTCTTCAGAGTTTTTCACTTGCAACGCCAGTCTCGAGGAGGCAGGCATAGTTGGGTTTTCCTGAAACAGTCGAAGAGGCTGTTCAGGATGTACCTGGATTCGGTCCAGAGTTTCAAGGACAAATGGTATGTCGTGCGGTCGGTCACCCAGACTGCTTTGGATTCTATATACGAAGAGGAGACCGCAGTGGCCGACGAGAACGGGGAGCCTCTTATGGACGACGAGGGTTGCCCAGTGTTGGGGCGTGTATCCAAGTTCCCGTTGCATTGGTGCTCGCGCCATTACGAGCATGGTACCGGGCACTACCATACGCCCGCGGGAGGGATGAGTGCCGAGGATGAGGAAGCCTACGGTACCCTTTGCAAGTATGTTGACAGCTTCTTCCCTGCCAGGTGGGTCACGAGGGAGGGGAAAGACATTCTTGACGAGGAAGGTTACCCGACCTTCGAGGCCCGTCCTATAGATACCAAGGCGCTTTTCGAGTGCCAGTCCTACGGGCAGGCCGTGGACCTACTAGGTTGCTTTTTGTCTTATAGTTTTGTTCTAGTTTCTTTGTTTGTTACTTGCTCGTAACTAACCCGGGTTTTCTTCTTTGCAGGCAATATGTCCGGACGAAGGGAGAGGCTTTTAAAACTGACTCAGGACAAGAAAGTCAATAGAAGGTTGGTGCGAGCTCCATAGGCAACTAGGATGGGCCCGCCGACCAGTTCAGGTGATGCTTCTAGCGGGTCCCCGGACTCCCCTGATGTCGAACAACCCACTGAGCTGATAACGAGGAAGAGAAACCGGGTAGAGAGCCAGTCGGAAGTCGGCGACGAGTCTGTCGCGGTGAGGGCCTTTGGCTTGCCCCCCTGCTTTAAAGAGGGAGGCTTCTTCGAGGGGTTTCCCTTGACAGTGAGTGTCGAGGAGGCTGAGACCATCAGGCGGCTAAACAAAGAAAGTCAGAGAAAATATCTGGCCGTCAGTATGGTCGAGATGGTTAAGTTGGCCGAGATGGCCGTTGTCCTCGCTGAGGAGGGGTCGGACTCCTCTGACCGCGTCAGGGAACTGGAGCTGGAGAAAGTTTCCCTCGCTGCTGGCTCTCGTAAGTTGAAGGCTGCTCTGGAACGATCTGAGGAGATGTTCCGCGAGCAAGCCGAGCTGCTGGCCGTGGAGAAGGAAAACTCGGGGAAGATTGCCGAGGAGAGGGACTGTTTTCGACTAGATCGGGAACGCTTGGAGGCCGACAACGAGCATCTGTCTAAAGAAGTCGAGGATCTGAAGGCCGCCATGATTCCCGCTGAAGATGAGTCGGAGGAGACATCCCCCTTGCGGAGTCGCTCAGATCTGGTCGCGCACATCCATCTCCTCGAAACGGACTGCGTTGGTGCTTTAGCAGATGGTTTTGAGGCCGCGGTTAGCTAGCTCTCCTTATTGAATCCGGGCATGAATACCGAGGGAGTGGGTTTCATGTCCCAGATCATCGACGGTCAGGTCGTGCCTCCTCCTGAGTCTCCTGTCGTGGATGCTGGTAGCCCCGGGGAAGTCTAGCCGAGGAATTTTGGTCGGGCCTGCGCGCCTGTTTATTGGTAGTTATTTTGGGGCCTACGTGCCCGTGCATATTTTTGGGGCCTGCGTGCCCGTACAAATTTCTTTCGGGCATCGTGCCATAGCCTGTAATTTCTGAACATCGCCGACCTTCTTGGTCGGTTTATTTTTATTTGTTTTTTACGAGCTTTTAAATGGATGTTTATTTCGACCTTTAATATTTGCTCGTGTCTAAGTTTTTATATTTGTGATGAAATTTGCCTAAGTTATGTCCCCGAGTCTCGCCTGTGCTCGGCTGTTACTTTGTGGCGAAATTTGCCTAAGTTATTTCCTCGGGGCATGCTTGTGCTCAGCTTGTTATTTTGTGGCAAAATTTGCCTAAGTTATGTCCTCGAGTGGAGATT